TCTGCGTGGTGCTGCTTCACTGTAGCCTACACATCCTGTTATTTTCTTCTTTTATCTATGGCTTATCTCTGTTTCACAGACACAGCTAACAAGTGCGGTGACTCAGACTGTTACGGTTTCAAGAAATTTTCCATTTTTAGAGTTCTAATTTTGACAAAATTTCTTCCCTCTCATGCTTTCTAAGTCATTATTTATAATGGAGATGTGGTACAATGCACTTAAAGCTACCTTACAGGTGGTGTACTCAGGGTCAGGTTAATGATCCTTGTACTGCGCGCTAGCTTTTAGCCTTCCTCAGTAAAAAGCAACTACTCGTGCGAAGCAAAAAATAACGATTGGCCATCTTTCTGATTCAAGTTACTGTCCATCGTTTGCTCCACCTTTTTTCCTTTTTTTTTTTTTTTCAAATATATCTAGTAACTGAAATCTGTAGTGTACATATAAAAGCAGCAGAATTACAATTAGGAATCTAAATGTATCATGACTGCATTACATCACTACTACGAATACAGAGGCTTATTGAGACATGTAAGCAATGGAACGTCATTAAACTTAAACTCTGAAAGGCAAGGGATATGCGCAAAGCAGACTCTAAAAGTGCATATTTAAGTTGAAAACATCTAAAGAGCTTTTTCAAAATGAAAATAAGTTACCGGCAAAAAAAAAATTTGAGTCAAGTTTGAGAAAGCAGAAAAACTAAATAAAGCATTTAAGGAAATACTGAAAGTTTGACAGAGTGGGACACCACTCGTCTGGCCTACACGTTGGAGTTATTGCAAGGGTTAGATCAGGTTCACAATGCCAGTCACGGGTGCCGAACTTGTTGCCGAGGTTTGGCGAACAAGTTTTTTGTTTGCTTAGGGCAGCGTTCTCTTCACAGCAAACACTCGCTACCTATTTCAGAAACCGCCGTCCTCAGCTCCCTGCTCTCTGCCGGATAGGCAGCCTGTGTGTCTTTACCAGCAAAAAGGGTGTGCAGGTAATAGTAACATCAAAAGATACTAAAAGATACCGCCAGCTAGTAAACGCCATAGCTAGAAATAGTGCAAGAAATTGAGTGGCAAATTGCTTTCAGAGAAGCAAAAATAGTGTTATTTGAGAGAATCAGGCAGAAAATCTGTGTGGGCAGCAGCGCCTGCTTGCTTTGGCACTGCGTTGAGAGAGCCAAGGTAAGTGAAAGCAAAACTGGCATTTGATACCATACCTGTTGCTCGCATGAACACATGTTGATGACACCTGCATACCGGTCAGATTGATATGATAAGTACAAGAAATATGTCCTGGTCGAGAGTGAAGGTTTTTTTCAGTTTCCTTAAACCGGATTATTTAAGATTAAGTAATGTAATTCACAGTTACGTGTTTCTCAGAGCCAGAGTGTTGACTAGACTCTGTTCTTTCTGGCATATTATAAAGCGCCTTCAACATCATCAAATATTATTGTGAGTCAAAAGTGGCTTTTTTTTTGCACTGTCCTGATAATCGGAAGTCGCATATCGTTCTCAATCGTATTTTAAAAAAGTATGCCAAACTAATAGACAAAAAATATCTACATGACTGTTATCACCGTGATTCCCATTTTTGTAAAAAAAATTCAGTAAGGGGGTCTTTTCATTGGTTTATTGCTTTATTATAGAAAGTACATGTTTCTTTCACTGTTTAAATGATAGCCGTTAGGTTTGATCTGCGAGATCTAGTTACAGTAGTCGTTGAGTCTATTGCCTAAATGACGATTAAGTGGAATCTGTCTATAACCTCTTCATCACCATTTCCAGGACCGGGCTAAAATTATTCTCTGGTTGGTAGCTCTGCTGACACATTCCTTCAGTCTTCCTTTTTTTCATTATTTTATATTACTCTATTTGTTTTTATTATGATTTTTTTTCTTTTGGAAATTAAGAAAGAATTGGAGTTCTAGCAGCTAGAAACTGTTCTTCAAAAAGAGCAAGACGGTTTAGAAGAAAGACCGAAAGTGCAGAAATTACATTACCATCTAACGATACAATGTGAGCCGAATAAGGGGAATGAAAAATTTTTGAAAGAGATACTAACAGCTGGTGTTTTGGTGGAAGTTTCATTTGCAACAGTTATAAAAAGCTGTATTTGTACAGGTGTGGATTGCATATTAACACACTCTTGCAGGACATATGTCCTGTCCGCGTAAAAAAGTGAATGTCAAATAACTGTTAAAAACTTCACGTTGAAACCAAAAATTATGGAAACCTGAAGCACTAGTGAACAATTTTAAAGGCTGTAACTCATCACTGTTGCCTAAAGAATCCAAAGATTGCTATTAGTGAAGAGTGGAAGGCATTAATCAATCAGCAATAAAATTCCCATCTTCCGGTATGTCAGTGGTAATCCATTTGCTTATATTTTTAAAAAATATCTTCTCTTCAAAGGCAATGCATTAGAAGTGTTAAAAACAGAGTAAGAATTGCAGAGGAAAGGCAAAAGAGCCGTGACTTGACCTGGAAGAATACGTTTTCAGATGGAGTAAAGTTGGTACAGATAACGATGCCCTGCGATAAATGGCACCAACAAAGGACCACATTATTTGTGCTCAATTTAACAAAACTCGAAAATGGTTCAAATTTTTGTTTCCTGATAGGTGGGTGGAGTCGGTTGTCTGTAATTTAGCCACTTAAAAAATCATATACCCTGCTATGGGCGGAGTCAATTATAAACAAACAGCCGTTAAGAGCGCAAATTGGTTGTTGATTGGCTCCACCCATTGAATTACGATCGGTTTGAACGTTAGCTACACAAACGCCAATGCTAACTATCCTTAATAATTAGACGACGAGCTTTTATGAGCGGTTATGTCACTAAGTTTTTCTGTTGAAAATATCGTTGCTTGCGATAAAAGTGTACGATGCGAAGAGGAGCCGGGACCAAGTCGAAAGTGTCCAACCAAATCAAGCCCAGGGCTTCCTTATGATCTTATTCAGGCAACTCGAACCAGTAGGGATCTAATGCGTACGAAGAATATCGTTGCTACTCATTTCAAAAAACTATTGGACAAAGAGTGGACAGCGTCATCTAAGGAGATTGATGAGGAAGTTCCAGTTGAGAAGATCACGTCGAACTTGGTCACTTCTGGGCGTCAAAATTTTGCTGCATCGGTTGCTGCCACGGATACGTCACGATGCTCAAGCGCGAATCGACTTCATGACGATCCACTTCAGCTGGGTCAGCGGTCAACTGCTTTACGTTCTAGAGGACCAACACCACAGACTTTATCATATTTTGATGTGTTACTACCACATGTACAAGTTAGTCTTTGTAAACATATATTTGGACATTTCACTGTTTGATAATTTAGCGCTTCTTGTGTTGGCTTATTTAGCGGTTTTGCTGGAAACAGCTAACATCAAATAAATATCAGTATTCATTAAAGATGGCATCAACGAATCCCTTTATTATGGGTCTAACTGACGCTGACGTGGCCACAAATCAGCAAAAACTTTGGTCTCAGCAATGGATTGAACTATTTCAGCAGTCTGCTGGATGCCGTCAGTTCGGTAGATCATAGTTTCAAATTTTCTAAGCTGGCTTCATTCTTTTACCCTCAAACCATTCCAATGTGCCTGTAATAAAGCTCATTTAATGCGAAGATTAGGAGATAAATATGAAAGTAATGTCAGACCTTTAATTTAAAATTGAAATCAACTAATAAGATTTCTGTTTTGGTATCTTTTCTAGCCTTTTCAAAAGTACTGCAGTTAATTTTTTTAGCTACTTTTCTGCTGGGAAAATTGAAACGCAATTGTTAATTTAAACTATGATTAATCGTTGAAGAAGGAGGAGGTAGGCAAAATGAAGAAAAAAACATAAAGCATCTAAAAAGCATTCGTGTTTTGTGATACATGAAAATTATAGTTTTTGACTCTGATCAATAATGCGGCAAAAAAAGAGGCCTTGTCAAGCATAAATATAGGTACAGAGATTTATGAAAACAGTCTAAGAGA